AATAGCCGGACAGTTAATCCTTAAAGGCTTTAATCAAGATTTCTACTCACGTAGAATCGAAAGTTAAATATTCAAGGTGTCGAAATTTTATAATCTTATTGAAAAGTGTAATGAATTTTCTACTATTGAATTACGTAACAAACCGGTGCGTTAGCCGCGCAACACGTGTTTCTCGTTTGTCATCAAACTGCGGCGCGGGCGTCGCGAAACGCTCGTTTAAGCATGATCGATTGTCCAAAAGCTCGTTAATTCGCGGTACGAACTCGGCTTTGAGGAACGTCGATGCGCACGCGTCTTGAATCGTTGAATATATTAATTTGAGGATGGCCGCGTAAGTACCTGCACCGGCTGGTCCAGTAATTAATCTGCAAGCGTGACGACAGATACGTCCGTATTTTATAAAAGCATCACTTAAGAGTGATACATAAATTAATTCAACTTTTTTAACAACTAAATATTCTCTTTTGGAATAGAGGAATATTAAATACTTCCATTAACATATTTAAGAATAAGACAATTCAATAGTTTGACAGATGCACGCTGTTAGTTTAACGGTGTACAACGATAAATCGCAGGACGCATTGAACTCTGACAGATAACTCGAAGTGGCCGATAAATCTAACCAGTTCTAAACCTGTCTATCACTGCAAATTGTTCGTACGTTGTTGGATCTGTCGAACGACGCCTGATTTACTGTTTGTCATTACATCACAATCGAAGACACGATATACTTTAAATACTCGTCGATGTTAGAGAAGAATATTTGTGATCACAAAGCTACTTCACTAAAGTAAATCGGTAACACTTGTAATGTCACGTCTACGGCGTCTAATTAAAGGGAAGTCGCGAAACATGTGGATAATTTACAAGCCACGGAGTATCCTGGCTAGTCTGATAGACAACCCCGGCTAGAATGAATGATAGGCTGGTTACGTGCGCGAAGTGTCTTCGACTTAATGGCCTAGCCTCCAGCTACACTCCTAATCATGAATCCTAGTGCACTTTTAAGTTTCGAGAGTAGAATGTTCATTGACCATCAAGAAATAAATCATTAACACATCAATATCCAGTGTACGGATTAAAATAAGATCAGAATAACGTTTAGTACAAATTCACAACAAATTGCACAAGCAAGTTCTTGTGAGATGCAGATTTTTGTACAAAACTATTATAATGATAATTTGGAAATAAGGATTCCTTTTTGCCTTAAAAAATATTCTGCTTGAATACTGAATGCGTTATTTATATAGGCTGAGTCACATTTCTTCTTATCTCAAAGAATATAGAAGTTACTCAGTGACTCATCCTGTATTTTATAAAATTGTTCAATGCAATCTACTGATAACAGTGGGAAAGAATTACTGTTGGAATGTCGATTGCATTTGCGTATGCGATAAGCAGAAATTAGAAGACGCCTCCAGGTGCGCACAGCTCAAAGGTACAGCACTCTAAGAAGACGAATTCAATATTAATTACAAAAGACGTCCGCACCCACAGGGAGTTCGTGGACTTTAGATCGGTGGTTCGCGTGAAAAGGAAATTACGTTCAGCCTTTCCCTGACCAACCAAAGTGGCTTTCTGTCAGCGTCAACGAGACGAAGGCTAGGCGTTTGCGAGTCCACCGGTAGGTGTGTCAATCAGTAGCAAAGTAATAGCTGGTTTTTAAGTTGTCGTGATCAAAAAGAGCCCGCGAGTGCCTCGCGTGCGTCTAATGGTGGACAAGATGAAAAAGAGCGAGCCATGGGATCGCCAAGAGAGACTGTGGCTCTGGCTTTAACTAATCAGAGTCACGGAACGTCCCCGATTTTTAAGCACAATAACTGAGTGAGTCAATGCCATTGCCTAAGAATGTGATAATTATTGATTCTACACAATTGGAGAAAAATTGTGCATAGAAAAATTGTACAAAATTTAAGATGCTTGTACAAAATATAAAAAATGCACACATCCTTCTTACATAAAGAATATTAAAAGTGAAATGCATATTATTCATTTTAAATCTTTCTTTCGTTTTCTAAATCCTTCATCTTCCATAAAAATTGGCAGTCTGGCAATAATAAATTCAGCTTTACAATTGAGAGGACGTTCCATTTGTGTAATGGTTCATTTTAAATGTTAACAGAGTATAATCCAATTTACGTAGAGTTTTTCTGAATAGTCGTTAAAATAAATTGGTCGTTTCTCGCAGCAGGTAGGTATTCCTTTGTGAATTCTCGTTGGGATTGAGACATTTATTAAATTGGTATGTCCGCGCACGCGGTCGAAAAGAACGCCAGTCATTTCGCTCACCTTAATGAGCGTACGTGATGAGCGTATCAATAATTATCGATCCACCTGACACAGCTATTACATATTTAAATCTGTTAATTGCTTATGCCTGTTTAGATCAGCCCTTTTATCATTACGTTCATATATAGGTAATGCGACATCAGCAGAAAAATGATTTTTAAATACTAATCGTACTTGCAATTAATTCATGTATTAAAATGTTCATCATTAATAATATTTTTATCATAAAAATAGTTTAATCAGAAAATGAAGGGGTATCAATTTTAGTGAAAGGATCTACTTTAAGTCGTACCGAAATGAGATAATTTGCGGTAGAACGCAATATCTACGAACAAATGCAATGAACAGAATCCTCATTAAACGTCTGTGAGAAATCTACGAACCGATAATCGTTTCACGGTAGATATGCGTCGACCACTTTTCATAATGGGCCTATTAAGTGCTCGGAACCTCACAAAAGTCATTTATCAATCTCTTTTAAATGTATATGTCTCACTAGTTGTACAGTACTATTAACGAAGATAGTAGAACAGGCAATATTTATGAATCTTACGAACTAATTGTTCCTTTATCATTATTACCTCATGAAATTCAGTGTTCTTAATAATATTTTTCTGTTAGTAATTTGATAATCGTTCAACAAGCTTCAGAGGCTCGTGATAAAAATGAAACATGCATGCATAAAAAAACGTAATTCAAGATTAAAGGATATCGTATACGGTAATTTGCCCTTATAAGAGGAAAAGATACTTGTAGCACTTTTATCCTCACATAAAATTATTGTTAAGGGTACGGTACGTGCGTCACGACACGAGTTCGCCCACATGGACTGCCCACCTCTTTTGTACACATATATTCCTGTTTCTCACCGCCAGAATAGGGCTAAAAGCGTGTGGGCGGACGAAATTTCTGTTCGCGTTCGCTGTTACTAGGTCGCGTGTAAAAAAAGGCGAAATCAATTTCACCTGAGTGAGAATAAGTTAACGACACTGCGTTGCGACACGCGAGATGATGGAATACACAGCGAAGTGTGTGAAAAAATCCTATAATATATTCTTGTTAAAGACGATACGAGTAGACTGCGGATTTGAAGGAAATTTAATGTCCAGGAATTATAAATGCTGTGTATTATGTATGAATCGACAAGCTGGTTGCATATTTAAGTAACGAAAGAAATGATTATTTAAAACATATTTTTTAAATAAGAATCCGCAGTCTAAAGCAGAATAATCGGAAGCATTGGCAAAGTGGACTCACCAGTACATCCTGCAGGAGTTCGTGCTCATCGAGAAGTATCACTTTGCAATGAAGAAGACGGGGCCTACGGCTTCCGGTCGGCCTTAGTCCAGGACAGAGCCACTCCACTACCATATCTCTTCCGTCAGCAGCTCTCCTGTTTCCCTTGTGATTCCTTCCTGGCCCTGGCTTTACTCGTTCATCCACTCATCGGTTTCGGTCATCCTGAAAGATGAGGACGTCCACGCTGGTAATCCGATCAAAACTGTTGACTATACATATACATACTATTCACGGCTAAAACGGTTAATTTGGAATCACGATGATTTTTCACAATGATTAGTGATCGCCTTTAATTGTTGTAGAAAAACTCACTCACACGAGTCGTGCAGATTTAACGTAACAGATGAAACCACGTAAGATACTTATTCACGTGTATCACATTTCATCTCATAAATCTTTCCCATAGGCATTAATAATTTAACGCTCGACAACTAAATAGCTGCCGTATTCAAGACCAACATAACAATTCAATTAACAGCTACAACACAACGAGTACATGCATCGTGCATGGAAACCTATACATATATACATATTGAAAACCAGTAAATAAAGCAAACTATTACACTGTTATATGCCAATTCGCATTAATCGTGACCTCGGATGAATGGGCGAAACTTGAAAACGTTTCGAGTTCTCTGAATCCCGAGTTCAATAGGCTCAGATTCAACGGAATTAATTAAAAGCACAATGGTCGAACAAATGATCGAGTTAACTAATGGCTTTGAATCTGATGAAAGTGTACAGGAATTAAATGATTCCTGTATGCAAAAGAAGTATGAATCCCATATTCCAGTATGTACAAGAAGTATAAAACACATTATTAAATTATTCATATAATTAATTAAGTAGTTATAATAAATTCACGAAACCTACATTACTTTCTTATACCGATCCTATACGATATTTATAGTACACGGTCTACCGTGGACGGGACAACCTTGCGCGACTAATAGAGTGAACTGAGCGATCGACAAGAAAGGAGACAAGGAAAAAAGTGGACGAGAATAGAGAAAGGAGGACACGAAACGTAGGTGAATTAATCTAGATCTCTGTCCGGCTATCTTCAAAGAAGACGCGTATGAGAATGGAACGATAGGCTTGACGCGATTAATTCCGTGATTTATGATATTTGAGATGAAAAAGATAGACAGCTTAAAGTTAAAGTCGTTTTTTAATTGATTCTCTTTGAAGCATTGGCAAAGTGGACTCACCAGTACATCCTGCAGGAGTTCGTGCTCATCGAGAAGTATCACTTTGCAATGAAGAAGACGGGGCCTACGGCTTCCGGTCGGCCTTAGTCCAGGACAGAGCCACTCCACTACCATATCTCTTCCGTCAGCAGCTCTCCTGTTTCCCTTGTGATTCCTTCCTGGCCCTGGCTTTACTCGTTCATCCACTCATCGGTTTCGGTCATCCTGAAAGATGAGGACGTCCACGCTGGTAATCCGATCAAAACTGTTGACTATACATATACATACTATTCACGGCTAAAACGGTTAATTTGGAATCACGATGATTTTTCACAATGATTAGTGATCGCCTTTAATTGTTGTAGAAAAACTCACTCACACGAGTCGTGCAGATTTAACGTAACAGATGAAACCACGTAAGATACTTATTCACGTGTATCACATTTCATCTCATAAATCTTTCCCATAGGCATTAATAATTTAACGCTCGACAACTAAATAGCTGCCGTATTCAAGACCAACATAACAATTCAATTAACAGCTACAACACAACGAGTACATGCATCGTGCATGGAAACCTATACATATATACATATTGAAAACCAGTAAATAAAGCAAACTATTACACTGTTATATGCCAATTCGCATTAATCGTGACCTCGGATGAATGGGCGAAACTTGAAAACGTTTCGAGTTCTCTGAATCCCGAGTTCAATAGGCTCAGATTCAACGGAATTAATTAAAAGCACAATGGTCGAACAAATGATCGAGTTAACTAATGGCTTTGAATCTGATGAAAGTGTACAGGAATTAAATGATTCCTGTATGCAAAAGAAGTATGAATCCCATATTCCAGTATGTACAAGAAGTATAAAACACATTATTAAATTATTCATATAATTAATTAAGTAGTTATAATAAATTCACGAAACCTACATTACTTTCTTATACCGATCCTATACGATATTTATAGTACACGGTCTACCGTGGACGGGACAACCTTGCGCGACTAATAGAGTGAACTGAGCGATCGACAAGAAAGGAGACAAGGAAAAAAGTGGACGAGAATAGAGAAAGGAGGACACGAAACGTAGGTGAATTAATCTAGATCTCTGTCCGGCTATCTTCAAAGAAGACGCGTATGAGAATGGAACGATAGGCTTGACGCGATTAATTCCGTGATTTATGATATTTGAGATGAAAAAGATAGACAGTTTAAAAAGTCGTTTTTTAATCGATTCTCTTCACGATTCTTCTATTTTTCGAAGTAGAATTTATTTCCTAAGGAAATACCTATAATATTTAATTGAAAATGTTTGAATACTTCTATTTGCTGGTGTGCCGATATCAAGCTGGATGGAAACGCAATAAGAGGAGTTTCGAAGCGAGAAGTACAATCTTCCAATCCATTAAGATACACAGCTCGCTCGTGCTAACCACGATAAATGATCTACAATGCAAATTCCTACGGGGCGCACAAATCCCGAAACGGACCGGTCGAGTGTCCATCGGCCCGCGTCCGTTTTAAGCATATCAAGCAAATTTATGCACGCCCCTTTCCCGCGCATAATTACCGAGCTATGAGCATTATTTACATAACGAGTTTAAGTAACAAACATCCCCGGCGACAGAACGCGTTGTAAAATTCGCGCGCACTTAATTCCTTCGGCCCGGAACAGAGTTGCCGAACACACCTGGGGAGATTCGAACAAGCCGCGGTCCTTGTAACGGGAACTCGCGCTCGATGCTCGCGTGTTATATTTTAGTGGATTCGTAACCGGAAATCGAAGAAGAAAACGAAAGCACATCTTCTCGAAATCCTTTCATGAACAATACAAATTTCAACTTATTGTACATATGTAAACGTGTTACGTCGTATTATTATAAATAGTTTAAGTAAACCTATATGTATAGATATTACAAATTTTCCATAATTTTCCTACATTTTTCTACCTGTACTACAAACATGATATTTTAGATGTGTTAAGTACTACTTAATTAATATTTAAATTAAGTATTGAGGTCAGTGTACGTCTTCGGTTAACCTTCATTTTTTTAATTATTGCTGTAATTAATTAGGAAACAATAACAATAATAATTGCATATGTACTTGTATACATATAATACAAATGAGAGCCAATAAAAATTTGAAACAAATAACTTTATTTTTAATTATACTTAATTGCTATTAAGTTAATGATATTTTATGACTGTTTGAAAACTTCTGTATGGTATTGTACAACTGAGGACCATTATATACATAAAAAATTGCTCTTGTGTTCTATCTCTGTGATTTGCTAATCGCCCTTACGGACACTTTATTTTCAACGCCCGGAGCCTAACAAGCGCGCTTCCTGTTAGCATCTGAAAAATCGTAAACAGCTCGCTAGCCGTCTGTACCGTTAGCTTATACTTTCATACATCTCGAATACGATTGCCCGTTACTAACCATTCGACGTCAATTCATGCTTACGAACATTCACAGAAATACTTAAACTGTTCCTAAAAGAATGTAGACAATCCATTGTTAAAAGTACAGCCAAATTTATCAACGCATTTTATTACATACGCATAACGCCTCTGTCTGTGAAAATCGCGGTGATTAAAAAGCGAAGGTATAGTGAGTCACGTGTTGCAAAGAGAATTCAAGAGTACTGATAAATGCGCCGGTGTATAGGCGAGAGTAAATCATCGAGGGATTTCTTCTACCCGGTTGGTCGTCCGATCCGGTCCGTGCGTCGATGCAATTTAAATATTTAAACTCATTAGACTGGCCGGCGCAAAATTACCGACCGCCGCGAGGCTCGTTCGACCATTCCGCGATCCGTCCTACGTGCATTTCAATCGCGGCTCGCAATTGAATATTTGTCTCTTCATTTTACTATGTTCAACCAGCGGACCGCGACATTGGTGCTTCAATCCTTCCTCGAATTCTCAAAATTAATTGTTTATATATAAATATAGAGTATACATTCTTTAATTTGATAATTGTATTACGATTGCGGGTTTTATGTATTTATAAATTCCTGTCTAAAGTTAATTTTTTAATTATGTTTAACTGTTTTAATTTGCAGCCTAATTATCAAATAAATTCCGTATGCAACTTGATCATGGAAAAACGACAATTAATTTACACATATTTGAAACGTCTCTTAGGAGATGATTTTGGAAACCAAGTTTGCATGCGACCCAATAAAAATTGCGCGTAGTGGCTAGCGCAGCGCGCGATATATCAAGCCTTGAGAAGAATGTCCCTACGCCCAACGAATCGCTAAGAAAATTAATGGCTCGTGCTTTGCATTCTCCGTAGGAAGCTTCGAATGCCGAAGGTATTCCTCGAGAGCAACCTTCCAGGTTCTGGTAGCGCGAGGTCTCCAGCTCCTGGACGCTGCACCCTCCTCTACGTCTTTCTTCTGGCTCGCCGCTATCGTCGCCGGTTTTGTGAACGTGTTCACGTTTTATTCATTAGCTGACGCCGTCACGTTGACCGATGAATTATTTTATTCGTTCGTACACGCCGCGCGTACGCGCTTCCATGTCGAATCCTAATCGACCGCGGCTGGAATCGTTTTGAATAACGGGTAAACACTCTCGACAATTTTTCTACTCGCATCGCACACGGCCATAAATGTTACAACAAAAATTAATATGGTATTTCATGTAATGACTAAAAATGTAATAAAATAATTTATATATAAATGAATTTCGTACAGTGTTTCGTGTATCCATTCATTTCATAGACCGTCGTAATTCTAATCAATCAACTGTCGCTGACACTATCTAGATCGCGCGTAACACTTTCCCCGAATGAAACGCGAGCTCCCATTTCTAAACGCGGCTCACTCTCTCGAGCAGTCGTCGATTAAATACGTTCTCTACGAAAATCACGTGCGTCTGGTCTACAGTTTTTCCGTGGCGACAAACGTAATCGTTTCCCGTCACGTAGAAGGCGGAGCTTTCAGCGCCCGTGACAACTCGCTCCGGCAGAAGGTCAAGAGACCAAGTACGTACACCTTTTGTCCTCGCGTGTCGCGCGTGAAAAATGTACGCTCGATGATGTGCCGAACCGAGTGCCGTTGAACTCACCCGGGCACCCGAACAGGTTTCGTATCCAGAATTCCTGAATCCGATGAATATAATAGAAACTGACGGGGCTTAGCAAATTGCCACACGGTTGGTCCTTATTGCGAAATTAATTGCAGACAAGTCTGCCGCGCTCGATTAACGCGTTCGTTCGCTATTTGACCGTGACACGGAACGATACCCTATGTACTCGAGGATCGAAGGGGGAGAGAGGAGAGAGAAAAAAAACAGAAGGAAAGAACAGTAACGAGCTCGAGACTCGACCGTTCTCCTTCTCGATTCGCGAAACTCGACTCGGCCAATAACGTTCTTTCCACCAACAGGCACCACGGTCACGATTACTTTGTACGATGGTTACGACTTACGACGTTGGTCCCGGCGTAGGTACCTGCCGAGTCGTTAAACGAAAACACGCTCTCCTCGAAACTGATATAGTTAACCGATACGAAACTGCAATTTCCAGTGTAAATATTGAAGACGATCAGGAGAAATGTCCTCGATTCTTCTTTTATTACTGTTACACTTCACGAGACAAAATCGTAATACGATTTTTCTATCCCACCACATCTACAAAGACTCTTCGTGATCGATAATCAAGAGACATTACATAGGCCTCGCAAACATATATACATAAAACCATTGAGAGAAATAGTGTAACAGAATCCGAAGGCAAGAATGAACCACAAATCGTAAAACGAGATTTCCATTCTATCATAGTAATGCAAATTCTCGATGATTATCAATAAAAGTTAAATGAATCTTTCAAACAATATACGTAAAACTATTAAAACAAATCTAAAAGACATAAATCAATGAGTTTCCCTGCCAATGGAATTTCTCGATGATCAGATATCAATAAACATTAAATAGGTCTCCCTAATGACATAAAAGTACTAGAAGAAAAATGTAAGAGTCCAAAGGCAGTAAGAGTCTAACGAGGATAACAAGACGAATCGCGTCTTCTAATTAGCCCGCCGGTCTACGTAACAGAATCACGTGACAAAACGAATGAACGGAGGACCCTTTGAGCCTCGTTTCCGGTTTTATCTAGTCACTTTACTTTATTCACACACAAACTATAAAAAGAAGCATCTGCGCAGCTCCGTAATTGGTGCTCGCAGCTAATAGCCCATTGTCTACTGTTAAACAAGCGGGGAAAAATGTTTCATTTATCTGTGAGACGTTTTCCGAAGCATCGGAAGAAACGCGACGCGTTTCAGAATACAATACAAAGTGCTCTCCCGTCCCACATTAAGCATTCGTCGATCAGCATTAAGGAGGCATTAAATTATACCGAGGATACATTTTTTTCCATTGCCCGTCCCTCTCGATAAGACAAAGGGAGGGAACGCACCGTGACGGAACTCCAGCAATAAGAATAATACCCTGTCAGTGAATAAATACTGGCGATTATTCCACAATCGACGAAAACCGAGGTTCGAATATCAAACGCAATTGAAGTTCGAATAAAAATCGTAAGCCTGTATCGAATGTCAGAAATAGAAGCGTTCACCACGCGCACAGACACGGTATCGCTTATGTAGAGGGAAGTAAACAAAGCAAGATCGAAGATAAGTTCAATGCTACGCACCTTGACCGCGAAAATCAGATCCGAGATCGAAGATACGCCGTCGTCGGTGTGTCGATCAACGCGGCACATCTGGTCGCAGGGGTCATCACACTTCCGGTGCCACGATGCACAGAAATTCCGGTACCGGTGAACGAGCGCACGAGTCACGGGACGAAACAGTGTTTAAATATGAAGGACGATAAACGAGAAAAACCGGGAGGATAAGAAACTATATAAGCCGGTTACGAATTGTGCGCGTTCCGTTCGATCACTAAACGCGCGTGAACCAATCGACGCGACGCTGGTGCTGCGTGCACTGCCGTGACATGTCAGGTGGTGAAATTTTCGGTCTGGTCGCGACGGGAACGGAAGCTCGCCGGGACTTGAACTGACCGCGCAAGCGAGAATCGACGCCGAGGAAGGAAGTACGGATCGGCGATCGATGACACCGGCGCGAATTAGACTTGGCGTGCGTGGAACGTGTCGGGAGCAGAGTAAAGTCCCACGCGGCCGAGGAACGAGCTAGCACCGGATGGATCAGGGCAGTGGCTTGGCTCGGATCAGACTGAGCCGAGTCAACTGAAGGATTCAGATGTGCCTTTACCTTGCGCGCCTTCCTTTCCTTTCCTTCGCCTTTCCTTCACCCGCCGTTCCGTCTCGCTCGCGCGCCCGCACGTCTCGCGCTGTTCACTCTGTTAATCGTGATACCGTGGACAGTGACGTACCCTCGTCGGCCGCGAGGAGTCTTCCTTTTGACCGTTTCGAGTCTCCCGAAATTACGCCGCGTCACGCGACCACCGAAATCTTTTCAACAGCGACCGTTGTTCGGTTAAGTTATCGTGATTATCGTCAGATCTTGCTAGCAAGCTTTTCTACCGCCAAGGCCAGTTATGGGATTTGAATAGTTTCGAAATTAACGATAATAGACTTAATCGATGAGATGTAATAAAAAAATATCTCTGCTTGGAATATGATATCGCAAGCATTAACTGTTTGATGCAACATATTCGTGATTCACTAAACATTATTTTAATTATTTTAACAATTTTTCCTTGAGTTATAACTTGGAAATCTATTATGTGAAAGT